GCCAAAGTGAGAGTGAAGATCTCCGGAACCCCGACCCAGGGGTCTCGGATAGGGCTAAAAAGGCTATTGAGCGACCTAAGGGTGAGAATAAATAGACTTGTGGATCTGAGAGATGGTTACATCATCCTCACAGAAACAGATGAAGATGCTGATAAACTACTGTACTTAAGTCGAGTGCCATGAACAAAATGAAAACCAACGGTTACGAGGTCATTGTCCCACGGGAATACGGCGCCAAACTCACCCTTGTATGTAAGAAGTTAGACAAAGATGTAGTGGAAAATAACGCAGAAGAAATAAGAGATGAAATACAAAAGCAAATCAATGTCAAGGTTGTGGAGGTGTATCCTATGTATGCCCATAATATAATCAAGGTTCGCTTTGCAGACACAACGGATGCAAAAAGAATGAAGGAGAAAGGGCTCTATGCATATGGCACTTCCATCTCATCCCACCAAATAGAATATGAAAAGTATACGCCCATCCAACAATGTATGAAATGCTATAAATACAATGACCACATGACCAAGAACTGCCCCATGCAAGGGGTCATATGCTCTGAGTGTTCATCTGATCAGCACTTCTACAAAGACTGCCGTAGCACCATAAAAAAGTGTGTCGTCTGCGAGGGTGACCACAGGACCTTCTCTGCCACCTGCCTGGTCAGGAAACAGGTAACTCAAGAAACAGAGAAGAAACTGACCGAAATAACCAAACAAAAAGAAACCAGGGAAATTTCTAACACCATAGAAAGGACCACTCAGTCGACGATCATGGCTTACAGCCAAACCCTAAAAGACGCTCTAAAAGAAACTCAAGCAGACTCCCAAAAGCTCAACAATGTCAGCGAGACCATGGAAGTCCTGCAATCAGAGATAAGAACCATCAAGGACTCAATAAAACAGGCAGTTACTGAGTCACTGGGCGCCATGAGGGACGCAGTGGCCGAGAGCATCAGGAGCGTCTCCTCTCCACAGCTGGACGAGTCCAAAGCCACCACTATATACTTGTCTTACCTGCATGCCCATCACATGAACATGGTTCATCCAGGTTCATTCTCGAAACACCTCAACGAGACACTAACCAGGAACAACATTGCACCTGTTGAAATAAGCGACAAAGTCCCTTCAAAAGAAATCCTTAAGGCAGTAACCCACTCAACGACTTATCGACGACCTCAACCCACGCCAGAAATAGACCATGACCTCCTTGACTTAGGCAAAAGTCAGTATAACCGCAATCCCGACGTGGCCAGTCAGTCCCCCTGGGATCACAGCTCCAACGACACCGTAAATGCCCGCGATCCCATTACATGCACTCCCAGCGACGACAGTGACCATCGGACTGCAACCACAGTCAATGGTTGCGACCAGATGATGACGACTCACTCCACAGAGGAACAAGACCCTCGAGCTGCAGCGTCAGTTGATTTCTACGACACGCAGGCCCAGGACCTGAACACCTTCCTGTACACGGGTGACGAGAAGTTGGAGGGCCCGCCATTGACTGACAAGCAGATGTCCGAAGGTTCTGCTAAGAAGTTCCGTTCCCCTAGAAATGGCAGAAGCCGAGCAAACACTCCAAGCGACGCCCCAAGATACAGTCTCCGAAATGGCAGTCGTTAGCAGGATGAAAATTGTCCAACATAATGTCCTACACTGGTCCCCTAATAGACGTAATGAACTGTCTAACTTATACTATCAATTAGACCCAGACATCATTCTGTTAAACAGTACTGGCATAAAGGACGAAAGCAAGCTGAAAATTTTTGGCTACACTGTACACCAGAGGAACATGACGGGTGAGCTGAACGATGGTGTCGCTGTGGCCGTCAGGTCACGTCTGAGTCACAGAGTGTTGCCAGACTTCGAGGATTCAGTTCTGGGAGTGCAGGTGGAGACAACTAGGGGATCTGTTATCATATGCACAATGTACCTACCTCCCCGACGTCCTTACTTACCCGAACAAGATCTAAACCAGTTGCTACGCCACAGAAAACCAACATACATCATAAGGGACTTAAATGCGCGCCACGCCATACTAGGACACGGTAATGAGAACAACGTCGGTGTGGCGCTGTATGACAACATCAGAAGGGGAAAACTGCAACACCTCGGGCCAGATTTCCCGACATTGATCAGACGTGCCAGTGCCACAACACCCGACATAATCCTTTCTAACAACGAGGCAGTCCTGAACAGGCACGTTACCGCCGGACCCATCAGTACCAGCGATCACCTGCCAGTCGTCGTGACGCTCTCATCCAATCCCATTATGATCCCCGCCAACATCAGGTCAAACCTCAAACGGGCAGACTGGGACTCCTTCAAGGAGTCTCTCAGTCTCAAGCAGGGGAGGAACCTGGAAGAAGCCAGCCCCAATGACATCGACGACGCGGTCGAACAATGGTATAAGGATGTGAAGACAGAGATGGACAACAACATCCCGACCACCAGTTACAGGACCATTCCCCATCCTCACACTAGCCACCAGCTGAGGCAGCTCAGTGTCCAGTACGCTCACGTGAGACAGCTAGCCAGTATCGGCGGGTGGACGCAGGAGCTGAGAGACCTGTACCGAGAGCTACAGACGGACATCCAGCACGAGAGCAAACGTCTACATGAACAAAAGTGGGCCGCCTTGGTGTGGGAGGCAGCCAACAATTACCGCGATTCTGCTGCATTCTGGAAAGGGATCAAGCGACTGATGGGTTCCACCTCTAGCACGGTCCCTTACCTGCTCGACCAAAACAACGTAAAAATATTCGAGGAAGAAAACCAAGAACAACTACATCGGCGATATTTACGAAAGATCTTTACCATTAGTGAACAGGAGAACGAGGGCATCGACAGGGAGTTTGAGGAGGACATTTTAGGTCAGTTGCAGGACCATCAGCACCTGCTCCAGCCGCTCCCACGGATTGACTTCACCAGACTGGTGGACGGAAGCTACCTGACGGAACGCATAGTTCCTGCAGATGTGTCAGCCGTCATAAAAGGGTTTAAAAACAAATCACCTGGTCATACCCATAGCCAAATTCAAGCCGGCCCCATTGATGATCGACGACGAAGAGATTGAGTACTCTAAACAAGGCAGGCTGCTCGGCCTCATCATTTCTCGGACGGGCATCATTCCCCACGCGCAGACTAAAAAGAAGCCTAAACTAAAGTCACGTTTTCCCAAATTGATGCAGAGTTATAATAGGTTCACCTGTGAGCGGTGATGCCTGCACAGCAGGAAAGATATAGCAAGGTTGACAGCACGCGGTGAGTATGGATCATACAACTGGGTCAAACGCTGACCTCAACGAGCAGAGCCAAAACAAGTGTTTGAAAGAGGGCGACCATCCACCTAAAATCGGAAGGCCCTCAACTTCAGGTTCCATCGCCTAGGGAAGAAGGTTTGGGACAAGCTCCTGGACGACCCTCACAGCCCAGACCACCTACGCGGGGAAGACATCGACGGAGGGAGACCCCGCCTGGTGTGAGTCTGCCCACTACAACAACCCAACCCGCGATCCATCTATGTCCGCCACAGTGATCCACCTTAGATTAAAACTTAGATGATATAAATTCACATTTAACAAGTCACAATCAAGTGAGTCCATAACGTAATACAGTATAAGATGTTAATAAACTTGTAATTGTAAAATCAATCTAGTCATTGTCTACTAAAATAACCATTGTGCAACCTCATTCTAAATCCTAGGTTAGCTTAGCCAACAAACTCTGTAATATGTAAAACAAGAGGTGTCGTCCTCTGTTTAACTCATTAAACTTCTTTTCAACCTTTCCCCCGACTATATGTTGTGACTTCTCCATCCTCATGTCTGGCTGTGCCTTGAGCCCCAGCATGCCTTCCATCCTTTCCTACCTAAAAAAAAAAAAAGGGAATGCAAGTTAAGTTTCTTTAACCTATCCTGATATGGGAGGTAAGTAAAGAGATAGCCAGAGGGAGAGAGAGCAAGTGCAGTCGCCGCCTCCCCTAGTTTTTAAGGGTAACAAATTTATTGACAAAGTTTGGAGTACAGTTTGCCTATTCTGAGTAATTCAGTCCCCTAGTGAGTCACCTAACTCTAACGCACACCCAGGCCTTCTCTATCTAGGTGGCCTTGGGTTGTCACCCTGAAAGGAGAGAGAGAGAGGTGGTAGTGTTATTACCTAGAAAGAAAGAGAGGGAGATAGAAAGAGGTGGGGGTTGGGTTGTGGTGTTGTTACCCAAAGAGAGAGAGAGAGAGAGAGAGAGAGTGATGTTACAGAGACAGGCACTGGCCTGTTTAAAAGTGTTGGTAGTACAGCCGTAACGCGCATAGCTCTCACAATGTCAAGGTTGTTTTTTTAGTTTTAACAAATTTATTGACAAAGCTTGGAGTACAGTTTGCCTATTCTGAGTAATTCAGTCAGGTCTTGACACTGAGGGTGGTTCGAACCTATGCCCGGACACACGTGAGAAGGGTGTTATCTAGTGTGACCCACCAAATACCACAGGTTTCCTGGTCCCCGGTTTCCTCCTATACTAACACAGGATAGACCGCCCAAACGGCTAGTGAGCTGACAAGTGGCAAATGATAAAAAAAAAAATTAAACATCGTGTCGGGGGGGGGGAGGACGTTTCGGATGAATATTAATTAGTATTTAGGAAGAAAAAACTCGGCAAATTGAAATATTAAAACTGCAATTCCTCACCATTATCTGCAATTTACTTGATGTAATGAATCAATTTACTTCAATATTGTATTATAATTGTTGAATGTTCGCAAACGTCGTAAATTATATATAAAATTTATATTTTTACAAAAATAATAATTTAAATATTTTCTTCTCTGTGTATAGATTTCAAGATTGTAAAATCATTTTAGAAAATTTCTGATATCGTCAAAATTATTCCCTTGCGTAAAAAAAAGCACGTCATCTTTTTCACAGCACTCCCTCTCCTGGGTCATTATTAGCCACTACAATAACACAGTCTTCTACTGGGAAACATTATCAGGTTATCTGTACCTTACAGTAGATCGGGGTGGGAGCGCTGAACAACAACGGAGGCGACAGCCAAGCAGCTTACTCTCTCAAGTCCAACTACCAACTGGCGTCTGGCAACTCTCTCGACTCTCGCCTCACGGTCTCTCCTGCTCCGCTCACTGGTTACACCCCCCCCCCTACCCCAACCAACCTCCACTTTGAATTGACTTAAATGCTAGTGACAGGGGGGAAGGAGGTTCAGGGGAAGGATAAAGGGAGGATTAAAGTGAATTTTAGAAGGAGAGAAAGGTGCCATGGCTAAACACCGCTTGCGTTATTTTGGGTTTTAAGTTGGAGGCAGCAGCAACTAGCCTGGACGCGGCGAGGAGGTGGCAGGACCCAGAGTCAGGTGAGCGTCAGGTGCGTGTTGGGTTGGGCAATGGTTTCTTAGTACTTGGTTGGCTTGATAAGAACATAACATAGGAACATAAGAATGGAGGAAACTGCAGCGGGCCCTACTGACCCGCCGGGCAGTCCCGTTTATACCCAACCCCTATTGCTCAGATAAAGCGCCAGCTATGTTTGAAGCTATCAGCTTATTCGAGTTAATGATGATGTTTATTAGCAAATTCCATTCATCCACTACTCTGTTCCAAACCAGTGTTTACCTGTTCACGCCGAAATCTAAATTTGTCTAATTTAAAACCATTGTTACGAGTTCGCTCCTGGTTGGATAGTTTGAGTACCTTTGTAATGTCCCCTTTGTTAAGCCTGGCTTCCATATATACACACTTTCATGTCTCTCCTCACTCTACGTCTCTCGAGAATTACAAATTAAGATCTTTGGCTCTGTCTCTGTATTCAAGGTTCCTAATGCGGGATTAGTCTTGTCATTCTCCTCGCGGGATTCTTTCAATGATTCTGTCCATTCTGTAATACCGTGACCAGGGCAGACTGCGCACCAATACAGGTGAGGTCTCACAAGCTCTAGATATAATTTTGGAATATTACTCGCTAGTCTTGCTTAACTAACACTCCTTTGCTTGTATGAACCCAAGTACTTTATTCGCCTTATTCACGAGCAAAAACATACATTGTTTGCCTGGCTTAAGATTCCTACTTATCATTACTCCTAAATCTCTCCCTCTCGCAGTCGGATTCACAGTAATAAATTTGTTCATCTGGTATCTGGTTTCCTGTTTCATCTCTATACTGAGTACTTTACATTTGTCATTGAATTTCATCTGCCATTTTGACCATTCAAAATTTGTTTAGATCTTCCTGTAGTTTTGCAGTCCTCGTCAGATTTAATTACGTCCTGTTTTAGTGTCATCTTAGAATTTACTTATGTTGCTGTCTATGCTACGATATCTATGTCGTTTATGTATATAATAAATAATAATGGTCCAAGTACTGAGCCTTGGGAACTCCACTGACGTTGCTCCAATGGAATTTAGTGCACATTATGCTCACTCGCTGTTTCCTGTCCCGTAACCACGCCTAATCCATTTAAGGATATTACCTTTGATGCCAATAAGCTACCTTTCTAATTAGTCTTTCTTAGGGGACTCTGTCGAAACGCTTTGCTTAAGTCGGCATATACCACATCATAATTGTGCCCCTCGTCCACCGATTGGAAAACTGATGAAAAGAATGTTGTAGATTAGTTAGACGCGAATGCCCGCTTGTGGCAAGCCATATTTGGGGAATCATTGATCAACATGGTTCTTAGGTGGTTTCGAATAGCGATTTGAAATAATTGATTCTAGTAATTTACACCTGTGAGTTAGACTGGATTGGGAGGTAGTTAGAGGATAGTGATCTATCCCCTTTTTTAAAATAAATAGTAATTCGCTATCCTCCAGGGATTCTGGTACGACACCTGTTTTTTAATGACATCTTAACTTTGCGCTAGGGCATACTAAAGCTCATCATACATTCCTTTAATTCCACCCAACTACAAATATCTCTCTCATTTGAGGACCAGGTGACTTATTATTAGGTTTCAAGTTTGTCTATTTAACCCCAGTATGTCGTTACTAGTCACTACTATGTCTGAATAAGTCAGTGCCTCGGGTATCATGTTTAAATTTTTTCAGTGGTGAAAACTTCATTTGAAAAAAATATTTTATTCAGATTATTGCTCATTTCTCCGTCGTTATCTAGTTAAACATGCCGGTATCTGAGCGTATTGGTCCAATCTTATCTCGATTTTGGTTTGATACATTTGGTAAGATCGGCAGGGGTTTGTTTCGCCTCCCCTGCTGCCTTCAAGTTCATAGCGGTCCTCTTGGCTTTTCTTATCTCGGTGTTAACCCTACCGTGTCACCTTCTAATACTCCGGAGTAAATTCGCCACGATTTATCCTTCTACCTATAGCCTTCCTTTGGCAATAATGTTCTTTAAATAATTATTTATCCATTTAGGATCATTGTTGTGTGATCTGAGTTTTTGTATGGTATGTTCTGCCTTTTATTCATTAAGTAACTTCGTTATTTAAATTGTCGTGGAACTTCGGCATTCTCAGATCTCGTTATCAGGTCCGTGCCATCTGTCAGGTTCACATCCAAGCGTGACACCCTCCAGCTGCCCTCTTTAAGCTATCAAGTTTGCCCTTCTGAAATCTAGGGACTTTAATGGAGATTCGCTACGTCTGACCTGAAAATCTAGCTGGAATCTAATTTCTTTGTGATAAGCTGTTTGCAGGATTCGTTCCCTACCTCGGCATTACGCTAATAGAGTTTTCTCTGTTCGACAGAGACTAAATCAAATTCTATTGCAGGGTGGAGTTCGGTTTATATGACTTAGGAAACAGTCACTGCTGGATCGTTTCGAGGAAATCCTCTGATACTGAGTTTGCCAGTAGGAATCAGTCCAATCTATTTGGCCAAGGTTAAAATCGCCTACTATACAGACTTTGTTGTTGTGTATGGAAGCCCTGCATTTCATCCCAGATAAGTCACTCATTATTCTTCTGTCTCCAAGATTGGGAGGTCTATATATTACTCTATGATTGATGCCCTACCGTCGATTAAATCTATCCAAATTATTTTACCATCATTCACGCTCAGTTTTTATTTCCTTATTTATTTCGCACTTCAGATTATCCCTGACATAAGATGGCTACCCCCTCCTTTCCTGGACGGCCTATCAGTATGGAACAATTTGTATTCACCAATTTGGTATTCGACGGTAACTCGTGTGAGAATCCTAAGTTGATCCTTGTTTTGATGAATGCTATTATATCGTTTTCCGGTACATACCAAGGCCCTAATATCATCTGTTTATTTCTCATACTTCTACTGTTCATGTAGACATTTAAGTTAATGATAGTGTTCTGAGTCACTCCTTTACCGCATTGAGTTCAAACTCCCTGTCTGAAATTTAGTTTGTCATCATTCTTACTATTTCCATGTAATCTTTCACTTTTGTTTGCCTTCCACTGGAAGTATCCCCCGTGCCCATATGTTCCCCTAACAGTTTAAAGACTTGGATATCTTTTGAACTGCCCCCTCTGAATACCAAGCCAGGGTTGCCACCCATATCCCGAGACAGGTGCACCCCATCCTTAACATAAGGTCCCTTCTGCCGTAGAAGTTGTCCCGGTTGTCAATAGATACGACTGATGTTGACACGTATCCGTCAAGACGGCAGTTAACAACTGCCCTTGACAGCTTCATTCACAGCCAACTCTCTCTGCTTCACAAACGGAACACAACTTTCCTGATAGGGATCCCTCCATGAATCTAATACGATCTATAGCTGTCTTGAACTTATCAAAGAAGCTCTTCACTCATTAAATATCATTGCCTCCTGCACTGAGGGCAGATATTAGGTTTGTTCCCATTACCAGACAAGATATTGTCCATCCTGTCAACTTCTATCCACTGGCTAGCAAACACACCCTCATCCTAATTTTTTATTTTACCACAAAAGGCTCTGTCCAGGTACCTTACCTGTGGGTCACCAACAATCCCCATGCCTTCGCCCGTAAACTGTACAGCTGGCACTAACGTCCAATTCGTCTATCAAGGGACTAAACGAGTTGGTACTGTACTGCGCACATCATTGTCATTCCTAAAATCCATTTTTAATTCATATTACGCTACATAATATTCAAATCCACCGCGCTTGTAGAATCTCAGGAGAGACGTGTTTTTCCCCTTTGTTTTACACTCAGGATCACTCCCAGTAAGTCCCACCTTCGAACACAGTTGTCACTATGTTTATTCCACTCTCTACTGGCAAACGCAATCTTGAATTAGTCTGTGTAAATCAACTTTAGTAATTCGCCAGACCTTTGTCAACTGGGGTCATCTTTGAATGAGTAACAGTTAGAGTTGTTTGTAGTTATTGTCACTGCGTGAGTAGCGATCACTGGCAACTCAGGGGTATATATACCCGCGCATCACGCAGGGCGAGCGCCCCTGACGCCCACCCCAACGTTTGTTCCAGGTATGCTTATGTGTAGCCATTCAGTTTAATTCAGTCAATTGTAGTGAATATCAGTGTTCATCAGTGTTCATGCTTTAACAGTTGTAAGAAGTAATATAACGTAGTACGTCTGTCGTCTAGACAAGAGATTTGTTTGTGTGTTGTCATGCTTCCCAGTCCGTCCCCTGACGCCTGCCCCAACGTTTGTTCCAGATCCCATTGTGATTCTTGCATCACTCAACAACTGCCCCGGATGTAGTAGAAACCCAACAGGGACCATATATGAAACGGTGGCACCGATGCGGCCTGATTAGTATGCTCCACTGCCTCGTGGTGCCAGACCCCAGACTCGCCATGTGTCTGGCCACCACCGACCATAACAACAGTCGTGAATCTCAGTGTTCTACCCTGGGACGCACCCTGGAAGTATACGTCAACAGAGTGTCGTAAGATGTATGTTAGGATAATTAGTTGGAAATAATTATCCCATGTTGGAATAGTGGACCCATGCATCTGCTGATTTCATTATTAACGTGTATGTGGAGTAAATCTTGTAACTGTACTGTAATGCCACGTACCACCAGTAGGTGTGAAGTAAAGTAATCTACAAGTGCCATGCAATATATATTGTGAGTAGGGCCAAGAACTGGTCCTGCTATGTGAGAATGTGACACCAGTAAGATTGTGCACGGTAGAGTATACTACCTGAGTGATTGTTGTT